TGTTGACGTTGACGTTGATCTTGATCTTGATCGTGATGATGATGCTGATGCTGATGCTGATGCTGCTGATGATGATGATGATGATAATAATGATGATGCTGATGATGATGATGATGATGATGATGATGATGATGATGATGATGATGATGATGATGATGATGCTGATGATGCTGATGATGATGATGATGATGATGATGATGATGATGATGATGAGTCTCGTCCTGCGAACGTGTATGGGGGTGCAGCACAGAATCTGTTCTATTTCGCTCAAGCCTTTTTACGTTCAGGAAGCACCTGTATGTTGGCCCGCCCTCGTCCCCTCCAGGTTCCCTCGTGGGTGATAGTCTGCACGTAGTGCACGCTGGACGCCTGGTGGCCTGGGCTGCTGCGTGGCAGCGGTGGCAGAGGCCCCCCTGGACCGCCGCGGCTTCGCGCGAGGCGGAGCGGGCCGCGCTGAACGCTCGCAACCTCCTGGGCTGCCTGGCAGACGTGCCGCGGCTGCACGCGGAGGTCGCCTCGCTGGCCTCAGAGTTGCGCGAGGTCCGCGCCCAACAGGACCATCAAGTCTCGGACGCCGACTCGTTCTACGTACATTCGATCGGACTTGTGCTGACGGGGATCCTTCAGTCATTGCCGCGTTGGACATGGCGCTGCTGCCACGTCTGCGGTTGTTCAGGTCGGAGGGGAGCGCCGCCGAGGTGGCGGAGTTCTTCAATGAGTTGCTGCCTGGCTGCGCCGTCACTTTTCACTACGACGACGACCGCGGCATCTGGCATGAGCGGGTGTTGATCTGGCCCGCCTGCGCGCAGCAGCCCCCGACGAAGTGGACCATCGTGACCCCCGATGGCAACGTGCACGACAAGGAGATCGCTTCGGGCGGCGATGGGGACGGGCCGAACATGGCCTCGTTGACCTTCGGCGCTACGCCTGCCCAGCAGCGGCTAGCTGGGTTCGTGTATCGCTTCGACAGCTACCCCACCGAGGCTGAGCTGCTGGACATGGTGCGCACCGCCAGGCGGGATGCTCTAGCTGCGGGCCTCGACGTGATGGAGCCCCCGCTCTTCATGCGTCGCGGCGAGGTGCTGGGCGACTCGTCGACGGTCAGCTTCGGCGAGGACGCTGGTTTTACCGCCGCCTCGGCCGCAAGGGCCCAGGGCGCCCGCCCACGGCCGCTGGCGCCGCGCCGCCGCGGGGGCCGCCCCTCCCGCCGCCGGCGCCTGCGCCGCCTGGGCTGGGGGACGAGGCCGACGACGGGGAGCTGCCGCCCGCAGAGGGCAAGGCCGCGCCGCCGCCTGGCTCCGTCGGCGCCCGCGCGCTGGTGAGCGCGGAAGCGCCGCCGCCTGGCATGACCTGGCTTGCCAGCAAGGCGGTGGAGGCCGAGATCCAGCGTGGTGACGAGATCTTGTCGATGCCTGGGGATGCAGTCTGGGTCGAGAGCGGACTCCACGGCCTGCCCACTGGCTTCATCGTGCCCATGGAGTTGGTGCCCTCCGCCTCGGCTGCCCAGCAGCCGGGTGGCGAGGGTGATGATGCCCGCCTCCTAGGGCCACTGCCGAGGACTCGCGAAGGCCGACGCCATCGTGACTTCCGCGAGTCCGTGAGCCAGATGCGAAAGGAGACGCTCGACGATTTCCCTCTGTCTGGATAGCGCAGCTGCAAGTGGCTGCGCGAGAACATCATCGAGCACGGCGGCGCCCCAGATGGCCGCCAGACCAAGTGGATGGGTGAGAGCGGCTGCACGAAGGACGCGGCGGCGGCCCACTTCCACGAGCTCCGAGGGCTCTCGATCGGGCTCGCTCAGACCTACGACCAGGTCGACGGGTCGAACTTAGCCTGCATGGAAGTGGTCGCCTGCGCATTGAGACCATGGGCAGCATGAAGGTCGAGGTCGTCGAATACAACTTCGGGTGCTCGAAGCAGAGTGCTCGTCGCGGCGTTGCGGTGGCGCCGGGGTTTGCAAAGCGCGCGACGGAGCAGTCGGCCAAGGAGGCCGAGATCCAGAAACAACGGCGGGAGGCGCGCGAGGAGAAGAGCGCTTCCGCTGGCAAGAGGTGTCAGGGGTGACCTGGAGGGACTCGGCGGACGGGAGGTTGCTCGGCCCGTCTGCCACTTCACGAGAGCCAGTTTTGTCGGCCTACCATAGGCCTCTCTCTCTCTCTCTCTCTCTCTCTCTCTCTCTCTCTCTCTCTCTCTCTCTCTCTCTCTCTCTCTCTCTCTCTCTCTCTCTCTCTCTCTCTCTCTCTCTCTCTCTCTCTCTCTCTCTCTCTCTCTCTCTCTCTCTCTCTCTCTCTCTCTCTCTCTCTCTCTCTCTCTCTCTCTCTCTCTCTCATCTCTCTCTCTCTCTCTCTCTCTCTCTCTCTCTCTCTCTCTCTCTCTCTCTCTCTCTCTCTCTCTCTCTCTCTCTCTCTCTCTCTCTCTCTCTCTCTCTCTCTCTCTCTCTCTCTCTCTCTCTCTCTCTTTTTTTGTATATTATTTTTTTTATATCTCTCTCTCTCTCCGCCAGCGACGGGATGCTGCCTTTGGCTGTTCCTGCCGCGCCAATCCCTCCACGACTTCCGCCTGGGCGATCCCGTTCGGTTCGGGCACGTCTTCAATGCGCCCTGTCCATAGAGTGGCGTGCTCGGGGCGTCGCGGAGTGCCTCAACCTGCTCGGGGGCTACGTCGCACCGCAGTGCGCGCTAGGGCGCCTCTCCATGGGCGATATTTTAATTCGACGAGTTCGTCGCTGTCATCGTCAGATGGAGGCCCGACGGCCGCGTCGGCCCAGTAAGCCTGCTCAGAGCTTCTGGGCCGCCCGTGTCTGCGCTATGACACGTCCAGCGATCTACCGCCGAGGCCGCATGCGTCGCGCTTCGTGAGCTGGACCCAACGTGGGAACGAGCCTGGCTGGATCGCTGACCGACTCGGGCCAGCCTGCCGATGCCCTTTCTTGGGCCTCAACCACGCCTTGCTGCAGCCGCCAACGAGCTTCGACGCAGTCGTGGAGGAAGACGGGGGGCTTCCTTCATGCGTGGACCATGTGCTGGGAAGTAACCGCATACTTTTCATAGAGTTTGTGAAGTGTGGGATCTCAAGACGCGTCGAAGGTGCCTGGCAAGACCAGGATCGAGGGCGTCTGAGTGCTCGCCGCGGTCAAGAAGGGCGCTCGGATCAGGGTGGTGCTTGACTGCAGGAGGAGCAACCTACGGTGTCAGCCTTCTCTGCCAGTCAGCCTCTTCTTGGCCGCGGGCTTCGCGGACCTGGAGGTGTCTGAGGGGGCCCCGCTCTACTTTGCGGTGTTGGGCGTCCAGAGCGCGTTCTACCGGCGCGGGCTCCCTGCCCACCTGCGGCCGCTGTTCTGCCTGCCCGCAGTGACCTCCGGCGAGCCGGGCATTGGCCGGGTGGGCGGGCGCCGCGCGGCGCCCTGGGCGCGCCTGCGCCCGCGGCTGGCCGCGGCGCCGATGGGCTGGATTTGGGCCCTCTACTTCGCGCAGAAGGCCCACGAGCGCGCGCTGGGCGGCTGCGACGCCCTCAGGCCCGAGCTGCGCGCCGTCGACCTCCTGCCGCCGCCGTCGCCGCTGGCCGAGCCGATCCATTCCCTGCGCGTCGACGACGTGCTCGTCGTGGGCGCCGATCGGGAGGAAGCGACGCGCGTCAGACGTCTGCCCCCCCAGGCCTTGGAGCCCGCTGGGCCCGCCGTTCACGACGAGACCGACGCCGCGGACTCCATGGCGATGCTGGGGGGGGCAGCCCGAGGGCTGGCCCGCGCGGGCCACGCAGGCGCCGCGTCGCTTCTGGAAGCTGTGCATGGGCCTCGGCTACTTGGTGCAGCGCCGCCCCAGGGTGACCAGCCGCGGCATCGAGCGCGCCCTCGGCCACAGCACTTTCGCGGCTCTCTGTCGCCGGGAGAGCCTCAGCTGCTTCAGCGCCGTCTGCGCCTTCGTGCAGCAGGGCTACCAGCGCGCTCAGCCACTGTGTGCATCTGCGCGGAAGGAGCTGAAGATCGTCCGCGGGGCCCCCATCGCGCTGCGCGCCCAGCTGGATACCCCCTGGTCGCCGCAGGTGGTCGTGACCGATGCCTGTGAGACTGGGCGCGCCTCAATGGCCGCTGATTGGGAGGCCGACGACGGCGCCGCCGCGGGCCGTTGGCACGAGAGGTGGCGGTTCCGCCGCGCCCGCGAGGAGGGCGGCTGTTGGCGGGCGCGCGCCCGCGCGGCCCGCGCGGCCGAGGCGGTCTTGCTCGACGCAAATCCGTCGTTCGCAGCGTTGAGGGGTGAGTCTGATAAAAAACTAACCCGAAGTGTCTGCGCGCGTCTGCCGCCGTGCCAACTGGAAGTTGCTGCGCCGCGTTCTCCTGTTCGGGAAGGAGCCCATGCGCCGCGAGGAAGCAAGGGGAGACCTACGCGCCGTCAAGCTGATGATGTCAGACGCGGATTCGCGGGGGAAGAGGCACGCGGTCTCGGGGGTCAATCTCGCGCTCGCACTTGCTCTTTCGAAGGGTCGATTCCATGACATTTATCTGCTCAGTATTATTCGCCGAGGGGCCGCCCTTGCCCTGGCCGCGGGCGCTCGCATCCACAGACGATGGGTGCCCTGCGAGCTGAGCGGCACCGATGGCGCCAGCTGTGCCCGCGAACGAGCTGGCGGACACCGCGGGCGCGTCGCGGGCTGCGGCCGCGCCGTGACGCCTGCGGCCGCCCGCAGGCTGGCGCGGGGCCCCCGGGGCTCTGCCCCCCCGCTGCCGCTGCGACCTGCGCGCGCTGTCCCAGCGCCGGCGGCTCGCCTTGCACGGTCGCGGCAGGTGGCAGCGGAGGCCGTCGCCCTGGCGCGAGCCACGAGCCAAGGGGCCAGCCCTGCGCAACGTGCCCGAGCCGCAGGGCCGCAGCTGAAGCGCCTCGCGTTGCGGCCGCGCCCGCCGAGCTTCGCGCCGCCCTGCGCGTCCTCCATCCCGCTGCGCGAGATGCCGAGGTCCGCGCGGCGCCGCCTTGGCTGGGGGGCAGGCGCGGGGCGCCGCCCGACAGCTCTCCATCGCGGAGACAGCCGCCGTTGGGAAGCCAATCCGACGCCAGTACCGCGACCTGCTGGACCAGTTCCTGTCGTCCAGCAAGCTGGGGGCGCTGGGCGTGGCCGCCACCATGCTGGATGCTGCTGCGGTGAGTTTCTTCGACGAGCTGTGCCTGGCAGGGGAGGTCGCCTCAACGGGCGAGAAGCTGATCGCTGCGATCGCCAAACGCGCGCCCAGCTACCAGAGCAAGGGCCGCCTGGCGCTGCCCCGCGCCCGCCGCGCGCTGCGAGGGTGGCGGGTGATGCGCCCGTCGCGGGCCCGCCGCCCGTTGCCCTGGGCGACCTGCATGGGCGTCGCGCGGCGCCTCTGGCAGATCAGTGGCGAGGCGGAGATGGCCATCTACTGGTTGCTCATGGCGAACGCCTACCTGAGGCCTGGCGAGGCCCATCGCTTGACGAAAGGGCAGGCTTTGCCCCCGCATGCGAAGATGCCCAAGGTGACGGTGCACACCGATCCCGATTACCTCAGGAGGCCCGGCAGGACGGGCGAGATGGGCGAGACCGTCGACCTCGCCCGACCATGGCTGGCCTCGCTCGTCGCGAAGCCGAGGCAGGGCGATCCGACAGACCCGCTTTGGACTTTCACGATGACCGACGTGAAGAGGGCTTTCGACAGCGCGGCCACCTCCCTCGACCTCGGGGTACTGCAACCCGTGCTGTGCATGGCGCAGCGCAGTGGTGCCTCGATCGACAGGTTTACCGGGGCGGATCTCGCTGCTGGAGGCCCAGCGCCGCGGCGGGTGGAGGCAGCCCGCCTCGGTCCGACGCCTCGAGAAGCGGGGGCTGATCCAGGCGGTGTGGAAGTGGATGAGCACTCAGGCTCGCGAGTGCTCCCTGCGCGCGGAGGCCGAGCTGCCCGCGCTGCTCGCCGCCGCCTGACAGAAAAGGCTCCGCCTCCTGCCCTCCCGTGCCAAAGCTGGTCCGTTCTTTTTTTGTTATTCGGGTCTTCTCGGGCTCTGAGCAGTTCTGGAACATTTTTCTGAGGAAGAGAGGTTTCTCCGTGCTCCCTTTTGATGTGTTGCAAGGCCCACAAGGAGAACTCCTTAGGCTCACTGTCTTGCGTCGTGTGATTCGAAGGATCAAGAGTGACAAGTGTCCGGGGCTCCTTGCTGGCGTGCCCTGCGCGAGTTTCTCCGCTGCCCGTGATGGTCACCACGCCGCCCGAAACAGTGCCCATCCCCTTGGCCTCCCCTCGCCCCCCTCCTCCTTGCAAGCAGTGGTTGGCGAGGGCAATCGAATGCTACAGGTGTCCGCTCGGATATTTAAGGCTTGTCAACACATGCGTGCTGCTTTCTTTATGGGAGAGCCCACGGTCATCCTACATGTGGCAATGTGTCTCCGCGCGTCGTGTTTTACATTGGTCTGGGGTGCAAGATGTAATTGCTACCTGCTGTGGCTGGGGGGCCTTGTGGTGCAAGCCGGCCAGGTTTCGTGTCTTTCTCCTGCCCAGGGCCTCGGACCTTTCAAAGCGCTGTCGCCCCATCCGAGGGATATGCGCGTTCCCTGGCCAGAAAATATCTCAGTGCGACCCTACCTAGGAATTGGAGCCCCCATGGAAGCAGCATTGGTAGTAACACTAAAGTTAAGCTCAAGCTAAACTAAAGCTAAGCTAAAGTTAAGTTAAAGCTAAGCTAGAATCTAGCTGAAGCTAAGCTGAAGCTAAGCTAAAGCTAAGCTAAAGATAAGCTAACGCTAAGCTGAAGCTAAGCTACAGCTACGCTAAATCTAAGCTGAAGCTAAGGTACAGCTAAGCTACAGCGAAGGTAAAGCTAAGCTAAAGCTAAGCTACATCTAATCTAGAGCTAAGCTGCAGCTAAGATGAAGCTGAGCGAAAGCTGGACGAACGTTAAGCGAAAGCTAAACTATAGATAAGATGTAGCTAAGTGAAAGCTAAGGTAAAGCTGAGCTAAAGCTTCGCTAAATCTAAGCTAAAGCGAAGGTAAAGCTAAGCTAAAGCTAAGCTGCAGCTAAGATAGCGCTAAGCTACAGCTAAGCTAAAGCTACGCTAAAGCTAAAAAGTCTATGGTATGCGAAGCTATGCTAAGCTATGCTATGCAATAGTGTGCTATGCTATACTATGATGTGCGATGATATGCCATGCTATGCTATGCTACGCTAAGCTAAGCTACATTAGGCTAAGCTCAGCTAGGCTAAGCTAAGCTAAGCCGAGCTAAGCTAAGCTAAGCTAAGCCAAGTTCAGCTAAGACGAGATAGGGTAAGCCAAACTGAAGGGGGCGCTATGCTAAGCTATGCTAGGCTATGCTATGCAATGTTGTGCTATGTTATGCTGTGCTGTGCTATGATATGTCATGCTATGCTATGCTATGCTACGCTAAGCTAAGCTACAGTAGGCTAAGCTAAGTTAGGCTAAGCTAAGCTAAGCTAAGCTAAGGTAAGCCAAGCTAAGCTAAGCTAAGCTAAGCCAAGCTAAGCTAAGCCAAGCTAAGCTAAGACGAGATTAGCTAAGCCAAGCTAGAGGGCGCGACTGGGGGAACCGCGGGGCGGGGACTGGGGGAACCGCCCGGGGCGTGTAGCACTGCCCGGCCCCTTTAAGCTAGAGAGTAAGAACCCTTCTAGGCAGAGCCTAGGTAGGGAAAAAACACCAGATCCTCCGAGGCCGTGACGGCCTCGGTGTTCACTGGACTGTTCGCGCCGCCGCATATCCCAACGTTCTGTGTAATGCGATGGCCGATGGATGCGTCGATGTCGCTATTGATCGTGTCCTCAGGCAGAATTGTCACTCGTTCCCCTTCCGGTCTCCCTGCCCCAACAGTTGACGTGCTCCGTAGGAACCGAGTGCGACCTTTGGGCACTCGATGTCTGGCAAAGTTGTTGGTTTCAGTGTTTCGATCGCTGCCGCCGGCAGCTCGTCGCTCTCGAGTGCGTTTCACACTTGTGGATGACAAGTATCACAGCTATGAAAATCAAGGAGGGTTGGGGGACTTCCGACTTGTCCTGCGAACGTGTGGGGGTGCAGCACAAAGTCCGCTCTATGTTGCTCAAGCCTCCCGCCCTGTTTCTCAAATCTCGGCTTCCCGCCCTTGTTTTCGGAGGGCCGCAAGCACAGTCTTGACCAGCAAAGTTGTTGTTTTCAGTGTGTCGATCGCTGCCGCCGGCGGCTCGTCGCTCTCGGTTGGGTTTCGCACACATGCGGATGACAGATATCACAGCTATGAAAATCAAGGACGGGTGGGGAACCTCCTGATGACGATGCTGTCGCTGACGCTGATGATGATGCTGATGCTGGGGATGATAATGATGGTGATGATGATGTTTATGTGGTCATTCGGGTGATGATGCTGTCAATTGTGATGACGCTGAGGACGCTGACGATTGCGGTTGTCAGGATGCTGCTTTTGATGCTGCTTTCGATGTTGCTGGTGATGATGCTGTTGATGATGATGGTGCTTAGTAGCAACAGTAGGGGGAACAACATCATATTCGAGAGGATGAGAAGGGGGAAACTGAGGAGGGGCACCGCAACCCCTCCCACTCCTTGTCCTCCAACTGCCTGCTCGTCTCCTTTCCCTGCTCCTCCTTCGTCCTTCTCCTCGGCCTATTCTTCCCTCCTTCCCGTCACTCCTCCTCGTCCTTCTTGTCGGCGTCGTCGTCCTCCTTCCTCCTCCTGCTTCCTCCCCTCGTCGCTCCCCCCGGCAAGGTGGTGGGCGCAACCTGCTTGAAGGCGCGCAGAAGGGCAACTACGCGCCCGCGTCATCGTCATCGGTCGTCGCTGTCGTCTTTTTTTGTCGTCGGCTGGCGTTGTCGTCGACCGTCGTTGGTCGTCGGTTGTCGTCGGGAATCGTTTGTCGTCCATAGTCGTCGTCATTGTCGTCGTCGTCGGCCGCCGTCGTCGGTAGTCGTTGGTCGTCGTCGTCGTCGTCGTCGTCGTTTGTCGTCGTCGTCGTCGTCTCTGTCGTCGTGGTCGTCGTCGTCGTCGTCGTCCGTGGTCGTCGTCGTTGTGGTCGTCGTCTTCGTCGTCCTCGTCGTCGCCGGCGTCCGTCGTTGTCGTCCGTCGTCGTCCGTCGTCGTCCGTCGTCGTCGGCTGTCGATCGTTGGTCATTGTCATCGTCTGTTCTGCTGCTATTGCTGCTGCTGCTGCTGCCCGTCGACGTCGTCGTCTTCCTTCTCGTGGTCCCTGCTGCTGCTTCTGTTTGTCGCCGCCGCCGTCCTCCTGACTGTTCCTCCTCCTCCTCCTCCTCCTCCTCGTTCTCTTCCTTGCCTGGGGGGAGGGTAGGCTTCGCTCGCCGCAGCTGTTCGTTTTCTAACCCCTGATGGCTTGACAGCATAGCCCAGCATGACCCCTCCTCATCCCGCTCCTCGCGCCGGTCCGGAGTTCGTGCGGCGGGGGGGGCAGGAGGAGGAGGGAGGACGAGGACCTGGGCGAGGACGAGGACGGAGGAGGATAGAGGAGGTGGAGGGTTGAGCAGGTTGACAAGGACGAGCATGTAGGGCCTCCTCGCCCTTACCTCCTGCTCGTACTAACATTCGCGTGGGCAGGGCGGGCCAGGTGCTTCGCCTGAGAAGGCGGATAGTTGTCAAAATCTAGTTTCTGTCCGAGCGCCTTGCAAACTCTTCCTGAAAGAGTCCAGCATGTACACGGGCAGAGGGTGGACCGTTTTCGAAATATGGTTTCCTTTTCAACGCCGCGCACATTCGTTTTGACATTTCCCAACCATTACACAGACAACGTAGCTTATTCCTGCATGCGGTTCTCGCGTGGTGAGCTTGAGGTATGGTGTCCCCTGTGACCATGTTGTTGTTTTCAAGTTGGATTTCTCGCTCGAGTTCTCTTCAGGATTTGCGACCAGACGTTATGAACGTTCGATGATGACCCAGATGAGCGGCGGTCATTTTGACACTTCCCTTTAATCTATCCTGCCGCCTGTGGCAAACCCCGCCACCGTGCCTGTGCAACAGCGCAGCAGGAAGGAGGCTGAGTGTAGGAACGGTGCAATTATCACGCTCTAAATTGGGTCTGTTCGTGAACTCGATCTCATCTTCGTCCGCGCGGCAGGAAGGAGGTCGAGTTCACGCCCCGCGGCAGTTCAGCGAGTGGTCTGGACTGGGAAGGGTCGTGATCTCGACCAGGTCTTCGTCCGCGTGACACGGAGGAGGAGGAGAAGGAGGAGGAGGAGGAGGAGAAAACGAGGACCAGGAGGAGAAGGCAGATTTTGGCCCTCTTGGGGCATCCCGGGAGCTTCCTGAGGCCTCTTGGCGACTAGAGCCCTGATCCTCCGTGCTTCTTCGATCAGTCTGGTGCATAGCATTCTGTCGGCAGATTCGAGGTCCTCCACACCCGGGGGTGGGCTGGGGGTGGATAGTGCCTGTCCGCCGTTGGTTGCTCCCTGGGGGACGTCGACTTCCATGCGGGCGGGATGGTCGCCGCTTCGGCCTGCTTGTGGGTTGGGCGGGACGCGGGCAGCCCGAGTCCTTCTGAGGATGGCCTCTGTTACCAGGGCGCCGATGGTGTCGGAGGGGCGCATCTGGGAGTGGCATGCTCTGCGGTCGTGGCGAGCCGTTGCTTCGAGGGCTCCACGTACTGCGTCTGCTGCGGCTGTTCCATGTCAGAAGTTGCGCTCCCGTCCGTCCTGGGCGCGTCGGCGATAGCCTGGTCCAGGTGCTCCCCACCGATCTGCCCCCTCAGCCACGCCAAGTCGTCGTCACTCAGCTCTACACCGCTTGGGAGAGGGGTTTGGTGTCTCGCCTGTGGGTGGATCCTGACAGGTCTCGTGGGTGGCACGTTGAAGGATTGGCAGGCCAGAGTCGGTGGGAACCGCCGATCGAGACCGACGTCTGCGGGGCACCCGAAGACGCGCGTTCGTATCCGCGTACAAGCGTCCGGAGCCCACTCATTGGGGGCTGAGCAAAGCTGAGCGAGGGTGGCAACGGTGGCGCGGAGGTGGGGCTCGGACCCCAGGTCCCCGTCGCCGTGTCGGTGGTTGCTGAGCCAAGTGTCGTCGGAATTGCTGGCCATGTGCCTCTGGGCGCCGAGGAGCTCGGCAACGAGCCAGGAGGGTGTGAAGTCCACCGCGCCGGGGGTGTGCGGAGCATGTGTGTGCTCTGCGATGGGGGCGTACCGCGCCCCTACCCTGGCCAACTGGAAAGAGAGTTCCTGCCCCGGCGCGTCCAGCGGATGGTTGGGTTGCTCGAAAGGCGCTGAGAATGAGTTCCGGCACAGGTCTCTCTCCAGGATGCTCCATGGTCGGGCGAGACGCCGACGCGCCATGCAGCCAGGGATTACATTTTGCGGCTCTCTGGGCAGCCACGACCCACAGTAGTGGCACCGACTGGTAGGGCAGAAGAAGTTGCCGAACATCAGCCTGTAGGCGACCGGGTCCCAAGGCCAGGGGCTGTCTGAGCTGCCCCCTCCCTCCACCGCCGCTCCGGGGATGCCGGCCCCGCTGGAGCGGGCGTCTGGGATGGCGTGCTGGGTCCAGGGGGCGGAACCCAGGCCTGGCTGCTCAAGGGAGAGGGCGTCGCCTCCACTGCAGGACTGGCCACCTCGGTCCGTCGCCCAGCGCCTCACATCACTGTGATCCGGGAAGTGCACCATGTTGTCTCTGTGTTCGTGGATGATGACCCAGTAAGCTCTGGTCTTGACTTCGTCGTCTAGTGGGTCGACTGTACCGTGCGGGCGCCTGGGCCCCGACATCGCGTTGGGGACGCTGTCGCTGGTCCACCTGGTTGGGGCAAGAAAGGTGTTCGGCATGGCGTTGTCTGTGCTGGCCATCCCTGTCGGTGCAGTGCGCCGCTGCGCTCTTAGCCTCGCATTCCATGCTGGCCAGGGCGAGTTCGACGGGGCTAGCGTTTTCGCAGTCGAGCCTGTCGACATCTATGAGGGGGTCATGAGTGATGCTGGCGAAGCGGAGAGCCAGGATCTGAAACGGGTCTGGTCGCAGCCTCCGAGCCTACCCTCGAAGTCGGCCCCAGTGACAGACCACCAGACCAGCCATGCCAAGTCGAGGTGGGCTAGCGCGCTAGCGTTGGCCAGACGCGTGGCGTAGCGCGGCTCATCGTTGGGTCCGTAGAAGGGGGGATTCGAGAGCGCCAGCAGGGCCCGGCTCGGCTCGCAGCGGCGACGCGTCGTGAAGGCCCGGGTGTCCAGGGCGGTGGTTCCGTGCCAAACAGTGGTGGACTAGCATCTCCAGCCCATTGCGTTGCTCGGCTGTCAGGGGGAACTCGTGTGCATCCGCGGAGGAGTGCCCTCAGCGTGCCTCCTCTCCCCGTGATTCTGGAGTCGGCGACCCTCGGGCCGCAGCTTGGCACGTCGCTTTTACGGCTCTGCCGCCAGGGGGCGTTGGTCCGGCCTGCAGCGTCCAGCCAGCGCGCGTGTGTGTGAACGCTGAGCTGGGCCAGTCTCCTACTCCTATTTAGTGCTCTCTCGGCTTCGTCCGAGTCGGAGGGCTCGCACTGAGCCGAGGGCGCGAGGGGGTCTCCGGCTGGTGACCAGTCTGAAGGACCCGCCATGGGGGGCGCTTCTTCGCGTGAGCCAGGGGAGGCGCGCGCGGCGCTCTCCCTCGAGCCGGGAGGGTGGCTGGGAGAGGTAGGGCGAGGGGTAGGGCGGAGAGGAGAGGAGATCAGCTCGGGGGGGGCCGATCGGCCCCCGATCTGGTGAGCGCCCGGCCCGAGCTGACCTGGATCGATTTGGCTTTGCCCCGCCGGTGTCGGGGCGCTGGGCTGCTGCTGAAGCCCGGCTAGTGCTGCACTCAGTCGAGGCGGATCCGGCTCACGTCGACGTCCTTCGCCTGAGGGACTGTGCGGTGCGGCAGCGCAGCTGACGGCTGCACTGTCAGATGGGTCTAGCCTGGGGCCAGGGGGCGGGGCAGTGCTGGGCATGCTGTTCACTCTGGAGTCACAGCCATTTTCCTGCTGCAAAGCCAGGGTACGGGGAAGTGCTCCTCTGTCTGCTCCCACCTCGTCGGAGGGTTCGCGGCTGTCGAGCGGTGTCCTTGCACGGCCAGCGGCTGCACTTTCCGTTGAGCTGTGAGAGGCGCCGTCAGGGTTCGCTCCTTCGAGGTTGCCTCCTGCCCCGCATCCGCCGTTGTCCGAGCTGCCGCGTCCGCGCTGCGCGGCCTCAAGGGGGCCAGGGGAGCGCTGCCTTGGAACTGAGGGGGACTGACTGCTGGCTCCGCATGCCCGCGGGGAGGCGGGGCCAGGGCCCCCCGCGCCGATTAGGTCAGGGGGGTACCCCCCATCAGGGTGAAAGATGATGGGAGGGCCCACCTGGGTGGAAAGGAAGGGTCGGCGGGGTGTCATCATCTGAGGAGGCTAAGGGAGGGGGGATCAGGACGTGTCTGCCAGGGCTGCCGGGGTAACGACCAACGGTCGCACTGTCAGTGGGTCTCGGAGGGGACACAACGAGAGCAGCCCCCCCTGCGCGACTAACGGTCGCACTGTCAGTGCGAATGGGGGCGCAACGAGATGAGGCACCCCCTCCCGCGCGACTGACGGTCGCACTGTCGGTGCGAATCGGAGGGCAACGAGCTGCTGCATCCCCTCCCGCACGACCAACGGTCGCACTTTCAGTGAGAGTTGGAGAGCTACGAGCTGGGGCACCCCCTCTCGCATGACTCTCGGTCGCACTGTCAGTGTGTATCGGGGGGCAGCCTCCCGCACGACTAATGGTCGCATTGTCAGTGTGGAACGCAGGGCGACGAGCTGGGTCATCCCCCCCCGTGCGAC